CCCCCCCCCCCCCCACTTCGCGCCGTCGCATAGTTCTTCCGACGAAACTGCGCCGACGCAGCCAGTCCCTGGGCCGCCCCTGGAGCGCTGGGCCGGAATTCCGAAACGAATCCAGGCGCGGCGACGTGGGCCGCCCAGGGAGAGCGGCGGGATAATCATTTGACGTCGCAACGTGGCCTGAATTGCCCGCGAGCCCGGCGACCCCGCTTTGCCTGTCCTGCCCCCCAGCCCTGACCCCCCCCCCAACGTGCTCGCCCCCTCCCCAGAGACCAAACTCACGGGAACAATTCGCGCCTGTCTGTTGGGCCGTCTGGGGGGCATCTGGAGGCCTGAGAGGTCAGCCCATCGAAAGCGAAACGGCGATTGGCACTTGAACGATTTGGGCATCCAGATGGATTCTTGGAAGCCTCTTGAGGGCATCTTTTTTTCTATAATCTTCGCGTCAAAATTTCCTCCGGAACGGCGCGGCAGGCGTCGCGCCAGACGCGCGCCAACCACCAGGCGACGCGCCACACGCGCGTCGACCAGGCAAACGCAAGCAAGGTGGAGACGTCAAACGCCCCAAATACCAGTCGGCGCGCCGAACGCGCGCCAACAAACGTGGTCTGCATTGAATTTACAATGACGGGCCAATCCTCGCCAAGAGCCTGTGCTGCCAAGAAAATCTACATGAACCGGCTGTTGGGGCCCGCGCTCTGCTACTATTTGGCAATATCCTCACGCGACCAGATCGCTCAGCATGCGTAATAATGCCTGGTTCCAAACGTCTGGAAGTCCTGGCAAACACCAGTGCGAGCAATCAGTTTTGGTTGCCTTGCCGGGTGAATCATTTGAGGAATTACCAGGATGAGCATCTGCTCGCCCCCAGCTCATAGCGGTGATATCGAAAATGCGAACACAGAACCTCCAGTCTGGATTTTGGCAATGGAACGCAACATCGAATTCACTGCTTCGATGTCCGCGAAAGACGCAGACCCTAAATCGACGCACGCAATAATGTTATTCACTGGCCCCGTCTGTCCGTTACAACTGCCCTGCGAATCCCAATCGCCATGAAAGAAATGCCCCGGGCTATCGGTTTGCAAAATAACGTCTCCCGTGAATGCTATCTTCTCTAATTTGCGAAACGCATGTTCAATAGCAATGGTGAATGCCTCAATATTGATACGTCCGCCCGCGTCTTCGAGAGTCCTGTCTCTATGGTGATATGTGTTGCCGCGATGCGCAAAATGGTGTCCACCACCGAGAATCAGGATAGAGCTGTTCTGTATGCGTTGCAATAACTTGCCAAACTTAATAACTCTGGCAGGAATTATGTTAAGCTCCACAGCGCAAGCACCCCGTCACAAACTATCGTGATCGCGCTCAGTGAGAAATTGATCTCTTGCTGTCGACTTAATAGATGTACACACATGTCCAAAATACTGGTCGAAATCAAAATATATGTTATCAATCACTGGCATTAGCATGCGCAATGATTCGCATGTGTTGCGAACTAGCGAATCACCGACCATGAGTATGGGACGCCGAGAAACGACGTGCTACATTTTGCTTGCGTTAAAAAGTGGTAACTCACAGTCGTTAGGAACCCATGTGCATTTAGTAATATCATCTGATTTTCCACGGGGGTATTTGAATTCTCCGTCTCGGCGGCTTCGCTGACATCTGCCGCATCCCTTTCGTTAAATCGCATGGCTGTTTCCCCATTCGCCTCCAAGTGCAAGCTCAAAACTCCTATATCGCACAAGCTTAAAAAAAGTATTGCGCACACCATCGGATTTGAACTCCTTGGTAGCATTGCCGATGCTGGTACTGACCTATTTCTCACGCACGAAGGGCTGATGGTTGATGCTGGCTTAACGGCGTGGGCAAACACGGCTTGAGCCAAAATGCCACGGAAGCCTCTTTGAGGGCATCTTGGAAGCCTCTCGGGGGCTTCTTGATGCTGCCATGGGGCCTCGAGGACGCTTCGCAGGCTGTCTCGAGGCACTCTTGGCCCGCCCCGCGCATTCGGAAGCTGTCGCTGTGGTCGTTCTGGGAGGCTCTTGACGGCTCCTGTAACCGTTTTGGTGGCCTCCGGAGCTCCTCTTGAGACCCTCTCGGGCAAGCTGGGGCCCTCAAACTTCCTCAATGGCGGCCGCTGGATTGAGGAGATAGGGTCAAAAACATTATTGTTATCATGCTGACGATCGTCACCATCATCGCTACCGTCACCATCATCATCAGCATCCGCATCCTCGGCATCGCCACCATCGCCATCTTCATGGTCGACGTCGTCCGCAACATCAACATCATGGCGTCCATGTTGCCAGCGGTCGCGCCCAAAAAAATGCGCGCGTGCGTTGGCGCGCGCGTCAAATTTCACCCCGCCAACCACTCCGCGTTACCGCTTAGGACCAGGCCCATGACGGGCCGCGCTTCTGGGAACCAGCAGGCGCCCCCGAGATGGGCCCGTCAGCCATTGATCCGCGCCTACCACGTCGGGCCACGAAGTGGCCGCACAACGCAGGGGCGCCCACCGCGTCGGGCCACGAAGGGGCCGCGCAACGCAGGGGCCGCGGTGGGCCCAAGGAAAACAACCCAAAAGGGCCATGCAGCATGGTGGGCCGCGGAACGCTTTCCTGCCAGCTGCAGGGGTGGGGAAATCGGCCTCTAACTTGGCCCAGGGCCAACGCGGCCCCATAGGGCCAAGTCTCAGAGACCATCTCCTCCACACTCCCTGCGGGGGAGACCTGGGAGATACTCGCAGCGGGACGGGTGACGGTCGCGCCCGTGTCCAAGGCCGAAACGGCAGGAAATGGCTGGGGGCAGCTTGCGGGTCAGGCCTCTGGGCCAAGACAGCTGCGGAAGAAGCCGTCGAGCTCCCTTGCACGTTTCCCGCCGCACTCCCGTGCAGTGCGGTAAACCATGGTGGGCCACGGAGCGCTTTCCTGCCATTGACGGGGGTGGGGAATTCGGCCTCCAGCCTGAGTCAGGGCCAACGCGGCCCCATAGGGCCAGGCCGCAGATCCACCATGCCCTCTTCTGGCTAGCAGGCCGCGCGCGGTGCGCTGGAGGCAGCTGGGCGATGGGCACCACTGGCCATGCTGCGCACGGGGTGCCTCGGGCAGCGAGAAAACGCACCTCCGCCATGGCTAACTTGTCGCTTTGACAACGACGCCCGTGAGAATATGGATTGCATCCAATTCTTTTGGCGCGAAGGTGGCTTCCTGAAGCTTCGCGAGGGCGTCAGTGATGTAGATGCGGGCCGTTTTGATGTTGACCCAGCGCCCTCTCAGAGCAGTGCCATTGATGTCCCCCTTCATACAATTATGATGTGTGGTTCCACCTCGACGTAAGTTGCGCGACTTAAAGCCGTGCGCTGACGGCCCGACGAGAGCCGTGTATCACCTTGCGGGATTTAGGGGGCGTTTGGGCAACCGCAGGGCCCCCTTGGAGGAGTTGCTGGAGGACCCGGGGGGGCCGCCGCACCAAGGTAGCATCATCGACGCTGACCACCTTTTGCTGACCTAACCTTTGACCAGACTTAGTGTGGCGAAGATTGATGAGGGCACTTTTTCCCGTCTGGGCGATCGTACCGTCGCGCTCCCGAATCGCCAAGACCTTGCCCGTTTGCTGGGCGCAATGAAACGCGACTGCAACGGCGAGAGCAGAACGCGGGTGCCCCACGTCGCACGGTGCGCCTGCGATCGCCAGCGTCACCGCTTGAGTCAGCGGCGGTACCCGCTCTGGCAATTCCAATTGGTCCCGGGCCGCTTTCCGGCGCCACGCCCACGGCAAGTGTTGCCTGGCGCCTGGAACGACGTGTTGCACAGCTGCGAGAGCGTAGGCTGCCCAGCCCTTCGGCTCACCCTCTCCCCAGAGGTACTCCACATATTCTGCGCGCAGCTGATCCAGCTGATCTGAATTCATGACGGTCGGCCGAGACGTTCGACCATGCGCCCCGCCCAATCAAGGCATCTTGCGGCAAATTGAAGATATTGCGCCATCGCACGCTTCGTGAAGACATTGTCGCTTAGCCTGCCCATTGCCGCCCGTGCCGCCTGCCTCGCCCTTTTCGCGCCCTCGTCGCCGCTAGACCTCAACCTCTTAGCGCCCATGGCGCTCTGCTCGGCGCGTCGGCGGGATTGTCCGCCGCGTGAATGGTGGTTCTTGAACTTAATTTTACATCCCCATCGTAGTCTGTTTGCCGCCTATACTCCCTCCGTTCTCTCCCGTCCCTTTCGGGCTCAAAGTCGGCACGGGGGAGACCCGCGGGCGGGCCTTTCTGCGGTCGTGCCTGTGCACGGCCACCCACCGCGGAGCGATTCCGCGGCCATTCGCCTTCGCGGGCGCGGCGCTCGCGCTCCTGGGGCTCTCGGGCGACCTCCGGGAGGAGCTGGCCGCGGGCGGCGGCCTGAGCCAGGACCAGGTCCTGGACTTCCTCGGCCTGAGGTTCGAGGACAGAAACGAGCGCTCTGGAGGGCGAGGGCGTGGCGAGGCCCTCTCCCCTCCCGGAGCGTCCTGTGGGTGGGCCGGGGCCTGCTGGGGGCCCTCCCTGCCAACCTCCACAGGCGAGGCCGGGCGTGAGAGAACAGAGAGGACGGACCCTGGGCAGCACAAGACCCCCTGCGGGGAGCAGTGCCCCGCGGGAGGACAATGACTACGCTGACGTCGGACCGCCCGCGGGTCGCCCTCGTGATAAGGAGCTTGTTCTGGCGCCCGCGGAGGCGCTGGAGGCCCCCACGCGTCCGCATTGGGGGGCCCTCCTGCCACGACGTCGACGACGACCGTGGACGGGGAGAAGACGGCAACGACAGCCTCTCAGAATCGACCTCTCTCTCTCTCTCTCTCTCTCGCGGCTCTAACAAGAACAGCGAGGCGGATCCAGCTGTCGCGGCAACGACGACGACAACGACGACGACGACGACGACACTGGCGGCGCCGGCGGCGGCGGCGCCGGCGGCGGCGGCGCCGGCGGCGGCGGCGCCAGTGGCGGCGGCGGCGGTGGCGGCGCGAGCCTCTCGGCCGCCTCGGGCGGTGCCCCGTCGGGTGCCGCCGTGCGGCGGAGCGCGCCGATCAAGCCCTCCTCGTCTCGCAACCTTCGGGCGGCGGTCGCCGTCGCTGCCGTGGGCGCCGTGGTCGTCGCCGTCGTCGCAGCTGCCGCCGTCACCGCCTTCGCCGGCCTCGCCATCGGCCCTGGTCTCGACCTCGATCTCGACCTCGACCTCGACCTCGATCTCGACCTCGACCTCGTCGGTGCCGTCATCGACGCCGCCGTCCCCGGCGGCCGTCGACCTCAAAGCGCACCTCGACCTCACTGTCATAGTCGTCGCCGTCACTTTCGTCGCAGACGCCGAAATCGTGGTCATCGTCGTCGTCGACGATGTGGCAATCATGGCCCTCGAAGAGGGCGAAGAAGACAGATGGAGTAGGGAGACCAGGGGTAGAGAATAGGAGGGTGACCTCCTGCTGTTCCGCCCCCTCATCTTCTTCCGCGAGGCACAACTCATGTCCATGCATATATATATATGCGTGTGTTTATGTACACATCCATGTACATGCATCTATGTATGTATGTACAACATACCAATACACATGTATGAAATGTGTATTTACATATATATATATACATATATATACCTATACGACCACCCTTCGGGTGATAAGGAGGTTCGGGGGGGGAACCAACGTCTCACTCGATCGGTCTCACTATCGATCTCAGTATCGATCTCACTATCGGTCTCGCTCGATCGATCTCACTCGATCGATCTCGCAATCGATCTCACAATCGATCTATCTCATTCGATCGATCTCACAATTGATCTCACAATCGATCTCACAATCGATCGCACAATCGATCTGACATTCGGTATCAATATCGATCTCACTATCGATATCACAATCGCTCTGACAATCAAGGTCGTCATCATCATCATCATCATCAACAACATCATCAACATTAACATCATCACCAACATCGTCATCATCATGAGGGCACCGTCACCATCATCATCATCATCATCATAAACATCATCATCAACGTCAGCATCATCATCGGGACAGCATCATCATCATCATCACCATCATCATCTCATCATCAACATCATCATAACCATCATCATCGTCATCATCGGGACACAGTCATCGTCATCATCATCAGCAGCATCATCAGAATCATCATCATAATCGGGACACCATCATGATCACCATCGTTCTCATCATCAACATTATCATCAACATCGTCATCATCCTCGGGACACCATCATCATCATGATCATCGCATCATCATCATCGACATCATCATCATCAACAACATCATCATCATTGGGGCACCATCATCATCATGAGCAACATCATCATCAACATCGTCATTATCATTATTATCATCATCGGGACACCATCAGCATCACCATCATCATCAGCACCATCATCATCATCAGCATCATCATCGGGACACCATAATCATCATCAACATCATCATCATCAACATCATTATCGCCAGGACACCATTTCCATCAACATCATCATCACCAACATCATCGGAATCATCATCATCATCATCATCATCATCATCATCATCATCATCGGGACACCATCATCGTCATCATCATCAACATAATCATCATGAGCATCATCATCCTCATCATCGGGACACTATCATCATCATCGACACCATCATCAACATCATCATCATCTTCATCGGGACACCATCATCATCATCATCATCATCATCATCATCATCATCATCATCATCATCATCGTCATCATCATCATCATCATCATCATCATCATCATCATCATCATCATCATCATCATCATCATCATCATCATCATCATCATCATCATCATCATCATCATCATCATCATCATCATCATCATCATCATCATCATCATCATCATCATCATCCTCGCGGGACACCGCGGGACACCGGCGGGGCACCGTGGGACACCGCGGGACACCGCGGGACACCGCGGGACACGGCGGGACACCGGCGGGACACCGCGGGGCCCCAGCCGCCCGGAAGGGAATCATTTGGTCCGGCCGCGCCTCAGCCACACGGGACACCAGCGGGACACCGGCGGGACACCGCGGAACCCCGGCCGCCTGGAAGGGAATCATTTGGTCCGGCCGCGCCTCAGCCACACGGGACTCCAGCGGGACACCGGCGGGACACCGCGGGGCCCCGGCCGCCCGAAGGGAGACATTTGGTCCGGCCGCGCCTCAGCCACAGGAGACTTTTCTCTCGCCCGCCCACGCAGCTTCGCCCCGCCCGCACGGCACGCACGAACACGAAACCGAAACCGATTTCCCGGTGGGGGGCTCGCCGTTCCACTTCGATCTCACCCCCTCACCTCCGATATATATAGAGAGAGAGAGAGATGCGCGCACCATGATACAACTTTCCTCGTGAAAGATTGGAAGAGGAAAGGGTGGTTCAAGGGGCGTGGGGTTGTCGAAGTGATAACTCGATGGAGGGTATTGGAGCCAGAGGCTGTGGGTCTTGGGTGTGGTCTTGGAGGCCAATGGAGTTAAGGACAAGAAACTTTTCGAGGTACACTTGAGGAGGGGGCTGTGGGGTAGTGTGCGTGCGTGTGGCGTTGGAGGCGGAGGCTGTGGAGTATTGGGTGTGATGCGACAGACGGAGGGAGTTCAGTAAGCGGACCTGTTCAAGTTGAACATGGGGAGGGGGCTGTGGAGTAGTGGGTGTGGTGTTGGAGATGGAGGCTTTGGAACATTGGGGATGGCGTTAGAGGGGAGGGTTTTAGTAGGCGGACCTTTCAAGTTACACATTGGGAGGGGGCTGTGGAGTTGTGGGTGTGTTGGAGACGGAGGCTGTGCAAGGTTGACTGTGGTGTTGAAGACGGAGGGAGTTGAATAGGAGGATACTTTCAAGTCACATTTTGGGAAGGGGCTGTGGAATAATGAGTGTGGTGTTGGAGATGGAGGCTGTGGATCACTGGGTGTGGTGTCGGAGACGGTGGAAGTTGAGTAGGCGAGTCCTGTGAAGTTACACTTCGAAGGGGGCTGTGGAGTAGTGAGGGTGGTGTTGGAGCCCGATGTTGTGGAGTATGTGGTGCCGTGCTGGAGACGGAAGGAATTGAGAAGGCGGACCGTTTCAAGCTACCCTTGGGGAGGCGGCTGCTGAAAAGTGGGTGTGGCGTTGAAGACGGAGGCTGTGGAGCGTTGGGTATGGTGCTGGAGGCGGAGGAAGTTAAGTAGAAACGTTGCCTGTAACGAGCGGAGGAGGTAGTCGGAGCTTGCCACTACCTGGATGCCCTTTCAGGCCCTTTGCGAGCGAGCTAGAGACCTAAGCCAGAGGAGTCTTGGGGCTCCTGGGAGGGTACACCCTGCGAAATGCTTAAGAAATCATGGGTTAAGAAATTCATAGTCTCAGAACTTGAATAAAAAACCCAAAATGTCCATTCAAATCTTAGGATTTGCATTGAAACATTAAGAATAATCGAGACTCTGGCCGAAAACTTGGGTTTTCTCCAGCATCGCCTGGAGTGTATGCAAGGCTATTGCAGTGGGACTTCAGGCTGGAGGCCATGGTGCCCGTGCCCGACCTTGCGAGGAGCGACGCCCACGTCTCGGGCCAGGAGTTCGTGCTGCCTCCGACTGGTGGGATCCAGTCTGGGGCCGTCAACCCAGCGGGCGGCCGGGTGCAAGAGCCAGGGGGGTGCATCCACGATTCGAGGAGGAAGGGCACCAGGGAGGCGATGGGAAGGTAGACACAGTGGGCGGCGAGTTCCGCTCCGAAGAGTGGTCGCGCAGCCCATGCTTCGTCTCGTGAAGTTCGCGCTGGTGGGACCAGCCAGCCCTCCTCCTCCTCCTCCTCCTCCTCCTCCTCCTCCTCCTCCTCCTCCTCCTCCTCCTCCTCTCTCCTCCTCCTCCCCTCCTCCTCCCTCCCTCCTCCCTCCTCCCTCCTCCCTCCTCCCTCCTCCCTCCTCCCTCCTCCTCCTCCCTCCTCCCTCCTCCCTCCTCCCTCCTCCCTCCTCCCTCCTCTCCTCCCTCCTCCCTCCCTCCCTCCCTCCTCCCTCCTCCATCCTCCCGCCTCCCTCCTCCCTCCTCCCTCCTCCTCCCTCCTCCCAAGATCGAGTTATCACGATTGCTGGACGTATGCAACGGGGACTCGGAGGGCGCTGGCTTCGGGTGGGACGCCGGTCGCGCAGCAAAGGCCGGGTCTTGAGGCCTCCAGAAGAGTACGAGCTTGGAGTCCTGGACGTCCTCCATGGGTTCGAGGAGGCTCCCGAAGTGCTCTCAGACCTCCGCGCTGGCATCGCTTTCCTGGACAATCGAGATGGGGAGGGGGTAAGGCCGATTGGCCTCCTGTGCTTTCTTCATGAAAGTATGGTCGAAGTGCCGCCAGCCCATCTGCCGCAAGTGAGTGGCAGATCACCCATCATCTTTTTTCTTGGCGCGAGCTCCGAGTACACCTGCGAGCGCGCAGGGTGGGTGCACAACATGCTTGCGCACTTCGGCCACTGCATCGGAACGTCGGCAGCGTAAGAAGCTTCTTCTCGGGCATACTACCAGCATCAATTTGCATGGTGCGGCGATGGAACACAGGTTTAGCGCATGCTTGTTGAAAGGTTTTTACACTATGCATGCTGCTGAGAGAGCTGTTCATTACAGTGGGTGCGCGTCGGGAGTTGTGAGAGCCAACGGGACTGCTGCTCTGTGTTCGGCGGCGACGACGTTAACGAGTCTGCTGCTGCTGAGCCCTCCACGCCGCGCTCTGCTCTAGAGGCCCAAACTTGTGGCCCCAAACGTTCTCGATGGTACCGCGCTGCAGCGTGTGGGCCCGTCTTCGCTTGTTACTATGCAGCTTCCTGGCGGTGTCGAGTCCCTGCTGGACAGTTTCAAGCAGCTCCTGCTGCCAATTTCAAGCAAGTCGAAGTGCCGTTGTGGCGTCTCGGCGCTGGACCAGAAGCTCCAGCAGGCTTGGGATCTTCTCCCAAGCAGTCGGATGGAGTCTACGCATAATCTAAAGACGGATGCCAACATGGGCAATGGCAGGAGAGTCCGGATCACCAGGATCCGGTGGAGCGGGACCCAAGTGTGGTCCAGAAGGATCCATCAGCTGGGGGTTGCTGGGGCCAACGCGGTGTGGGTCCAGAGAGCGGGCCCGACGGCGTCGGCCCTGTGGGGCTGCAGCATCACGGGGATCCCCACCACTCGTCTGCATGCTCTTCGACTAGGTACTCTCGGCAGTCTTGGCAAGGCACCCAAGGATGTCACGGTAGGCTTAGGTCGGGCATGTCCTCCTACAGGCGGGCTCTGGGCGAAAAACGAGAATTAAGAAAAAAAATGTCAACCCAGAAAAATCGTCCCTGGAATATGTTTTCAACGTTTTCAAATATTTATCCTGTGGAGCGACAGTCCCGACTAACGGATAGGCCAGAGCCTTCACAGCTGCAGGGCAGGGCCCAGGATCTACCCGTCGGTGCTGAACATAGGGCAGGTTGTGTTCCAGTGGGCGGCGGCGGTCTGGGAGCCCTTCCCAAAGCCCCAGGTGCTCTAGACGTGCGTGGAGGGCGCGGCTTCGAGGATCCAGAACCTGAGGTCATCGCGGTCGGCGGCAGCGTCGCCGGCAGAGATCGCAGCCGTGAGCCTCCAGCGTGTTGGGTGGCGTTGTGCTGCGTGCACGGTGCTTGGCACCGCCCTGGACCAGCAGCCGGACTCGACCGAGATCCCGGCGCAGGAGGGGGCGGTCCGTGCCTCCAGCCGCCAGGCCCAGGCCGCCCACGAGCCCGAGGCACAGTGGCGCAAGCCGATGTGTTGGCGGGCTCTGGGGCCGCCATTGAATATTGTTTAACCGATCTCCATCCCCAGCGGCGTGGCCTGGGCCCCACTGGCCGATTTACCCCCCTAGATGGGGATATAGGCCGTTCTCTTCGGGTTTCGAGGGGTGTATCCCCAACTGGGGGGGTAATTTGGTGGGGGTCTCGAAGGGGATGGGGATGGGGATGGGGATGGGGATGGGGATGGGGATGGGGATTGGTTAAACGATACCGAGCCATGGGGGGCCTCATGGCGAGGGGTGTGTGCATGTTCAAGCTTTCAGACACGGTCTGTCCACAGAGTTTGCGACGATGGGGTGTTCGAAGCGTTCAACGGCGTTCGGCTGCCGTCGCTTCGGCGCCAGTTTTCCTGCCCATGCACCCCTGACGTGCACGGCGTCTTCTCTCTCTGGGGCCGCGGCTGCGCGTTGTCTCGAAGACATGGTGGTGGAATGAGAGGCATCAGCACACACTCAGGTCGCTCGTCTCAGGAGGCCACCGGCCGCAACTCATACTGAAGAAGCGCGGGTTGTCATAGTCGGCATGCTGCCAGAGATGTGGCGGCCCCAACGGGTCCATATGACACAAGTGCTGCGCGCGTCCTGCTCTGGCAAGCCTGTGGCCTTCCATGCTGTTCGGGCTACGCGTGTCGAGGCATGCGAGGCGGAGGTTAGCGAGCGCTTCACGCGTGGCAGCTTCCCGAACCCCACGGAGCTGCTGGAGGTCTCTGAGGAGCCCGAGCAGTCCATCGACCGGGTGCACAAGCCTGAACTGGGGCTTCTCACACGTTTTTTTACGGACGGGTCGGCCCTCTGGGCTGAGCGCCCGCACCAGGCCAGCGCAGGCTGGTCTGTTGTGCAAATAGATCAGTTCGGCAAGATGATGGCGGCAACATACTGTCAGTGCAGTTGTTTTCGCTCGGACCGCGTGGCGGTCAAACTGCGGGTGCAGTCCCAGGGCCCTAGGACTAGGGCCAAAACAGCGGCGAGCAGCGTGCATGCCACAAACATGAAAAGCATGTACATCATGCGCACACGGTGGCACGGGCGGCAGAGGGGCAGGGGAGTGCACTCTTCACACATACCACCCCGTCCCGCCTGCCGACGCCCCTCGTCCGACTTCCCGTGACGGGGAGGATGTTGCCATCAATGTGCTGACGCCAGATGCCCTTCCCCCCTTCGATGTGTACTCGGACTGTGCTGGCACGGTCAGCACGGTGTGGAAAGGGGGGGCGGGGGGCTGGTAGTAGCAATCTTCGTGCGCATTCGGGGAGGGGGGGGGGGGCAACTTGGGGCCAGCTTCCAGAGCGGGGACATCAACATAGTCAAAACCAAGGCTCACTGCTCTCAGGCCGACGGGGATGCAGGCCTGACCACGGAGTGGGAGATTGCTGCCAACAAGTCTGCTGACGAGTTGGCGGAGCGTGGCGCTATCCTGCATGGCGCCGACGCAGTTGTATACGAGCTCTGAAAAGGGCTGCAGGTCTGTGCGCGCGAGGTGGTCGCGTGGGCCACGGAGGCTCGCATGCCTAGTGAAGTCCGATACCACGAGGACCTCATGGAGGTCCATCCGGCGGGCCGCTCAGCGCCCCGGGAGGGCCCCCGTCCAGGAGATGCGGCTGGCCCCGACCAGGAGCCTCCTGGGGATCCCGAAGAGGAAGGGGGGGGGAATCGGGAGGGGCCGGATGTGAGGAGTTCTGGCACCTGTCACTTTGGTGTCGGCAGTCCTCCTTTTTGGTCGCACCCTCATGCAGGCCCGCGTCGATACTGCGCACCCCCGAAGTCGATTCGTCCTCGGTTCCTCGTGCTGCGGGGCTGCCAGCTCCGACGGTAAGCTCGCTCGGGGGGGGGGGCTCCCTGATTTCCGCAGCGGACGCCCTGGTGAAAGGGGGGACCGAGCAGCTCAGACGCGTAAGGCTGGGCCAGCATCTCCACTACAAAAAGGGGATACGTCGGCTGCGCCCCAGTCGCCCCCACGGCGTGCCTCCCGAGGCCCGAGGGGGCCTCCGAGAGGAGGCCGCCACCCAGCCAGCTCCTCCGCCGCCGAGCCCGTCTCAGTCTACGTGGAGGCGGGGGACTGGGGGGGGAGGCCACGCGTGCAATTGCTGGGTCGTCAAGCGATCCATCGTGTTTCCGCGGGGGCGGACATCCAGTTTGAGAAGTCCGACCACAAGGGCTTCGGGTAAACCTCAGTTTTGACCGCCTTGAGGGCAAACCCAAGCCAAGCCAAGCATCATCATCAGCAGCATGGTAAGCCTGGCCTGTTCACAACTATCAGCATCATCAACCTCATCACCGTCAGCACCATCAACATCATCACCGCCAGCCTCAACATCATCATCATAATCAGCATCATCGTCAGCATGCTAATCGCCTTCACCAGTAACATCATAGTCATCATCATCGTATTCGTCATCGTCGTCATCGCCATCATCCTCCTCAGCATCGGCATCATTATCCACATAATCAAAATCAGCATCAGCATCAGCATTAGCATAATAATAATCATCAGCAGCATCTTCATCATCACCATCACCATCACTATTATCACCATTGCCATCATCATCATCATCATCATCATCATCATCACCATCATCACCATCACCATCACCACCACCACCACCATTACCGTCACCGTCACCGTCACCAGAATCACCATGATCATCGGTACCACCAATATCGTCGATAAGCGCCTCCTCCGCCTCCTCGCCCTCGCGCAGCCTTTTGACGGACGCGATCTTGAGGTAGTGTCCCGGAAGAAACACCTGCCCGTCGTGCAGGAGAGCAGGGGGCAGGGGGCGAGTGAAGGTTGAGGGGGAGGCGAGAGATGGGAGGTGGAGAGCGCTGTTTTGTATTGATTTGCATTGCGCTGCATTGTGTTGCTTACTTTGCATGGCGTTGAATTGATGTGCATTGCCTTGCATTTCTCTGAGCAACATAGATTGCACGACATGCATTGCTCCAACAGGATTGCACCACTTTGATTGCACCACCTAGATTGCACCACATAGATTGCAAGAAATCACTGGTCAGGGGTCCACGCTGGCAAAAATATACAAACATATCTACACACACACACTAGAACCACGCGCGCGCTTCGCGCGCGCTTCGGTTCTAGCACGTCCTAGCCCTTGACAAGCTGACGCACACACTTCTTGGGGGGCACTTCGGGGGCCCTGTGGCCGCGATCGTGAGGTTCTACGGGTTCCTGAACTTGAAAGCCCGTGTCAGGACGCCGTCAAGAGACCAAAATACTTCCAAAACCTATCGAATCAATGTGTTTTGCCTTCTCGCCGTTTCGCTTTGGATGGCCGTCCGATGCCTCAAGACGGCTCCAAGATGGCCCGAGAGAGCCCCAAGAGAGACCCAAGAGAGGCCCAAGGCGGCTTCAAGAGGGCGCCTCGAGAGCGATCCAAGATGTAGTGCAGGACTAATTCTTGCAGTATCGCTCGGCCAATGAACCTATCTCGGAGCCCTCATCCATACAAGTTTATGATTTGGATAGTTGTAGACGGAACGAAACTGCGCATCAGGTTCTAGCTGCTCGAAATCTCGAGATCGGGTCGAGACACACTCGACGCAAAAGAACGGTGCGAAACAAATATGTCGAACATAATTTGATTAGTGAACCGATACAAGCGCTCCGATGCTTGTAGACTTGTGCGCTGGTCAATTCTGAATACGACTGCGTACCAGCTCTGGGTCGAAACGAAAAACAGGTCGACCCGTAGCAGACCACTTGCAGTGCGGAACTACTTTCGAGTATGGCCCGACTAGGGAAACGATGTTGGCGCTATCGGGGTTGCAGGCTCATGCTATACCGACGAGCTCTGTAGCTGCGCAAATTCCGAGATCACGCCGAAGAACAATTCGACCTGCAGCAGAACAGTTGCAGTGTGAAACAGATATTTCGAGTATAGCTCACTGAAAAACCGATCTGGCACTCTCGAGGCTGTCGGCTCATGCTTTCGACCATGCCCGATCGAATGGTGTACCGAAGAGCTCTGTCGCTGCCCTAAGCCTCGAGATCAAATCGAAAAAAGACACGCATATAGAAAATATGAAGGCGCGCTCCTGGCCCCACAGCTTTTCCCAAACATCTCCCAAGAGACCTGAGATCAATCAAGATGGCGAACAGGTCTTGTGTACTAGCTTCGCGCGAAATTGGTATAACCCCAACGAACGGTCAAATCTCGAGGAGCGATTGTTCAACCAGGCACATGTTACGATAAATTCCGCCGGGACGTGTTGGGCAAACTAGCCTGCCAATGCTCCAGAGATAGGTGGTGGCGATAAACCGTCAACCTTGTTTACTGCCAGAAACTATCCGGGCTTCCTTTCGGTGCCTCGCATCAGGATCATTGCAGCGACCTCGCCGCCCGCGGGAATATAGACGCGTTCTCCTGCTCAGTTGAAGCATGTTCATTGCATCAGGGCCCTGTAGCTGCTTTGAATATCGAGATCGATTCGAAACACTACTAGACACGCAGAGACTGGTAAATGGGTATTGCTTGGGCCATACCATCCCCGGAGCGTCCAGAAAAAAAAAGTGTTCTTCTGTTATGGATGTGTTCGCAGATCTTTGTGTTCTCATGTTTGTTGGCCTTCCGACCGCCCAAGACTGTCCAAGAAATACATCAGATCGCGCCAAGACTACCCACGAGGACCCCAAGGCCGCCCAAGATGGTCCACAAAGCCCCCCAGATGGCGCTAAGACGGCCCACGAGGCCCCCTGGGAGAGCCCCAACATAGCCCTAGAGAGTCCCAAGGCGGCCTACAAGGCCTCCTAAAACGGCTCAGGAGCCTCCGAGAGCTCCAGCCGGCCCCCAGGAGTGCTCCAAACCAACCCCAGAGGCCCCCAAGAGGCCCAAGAGGCCCAAAAAAGCCTACACGTGATTGTTCAGAGGCCCACAAAAACATGTCCAGGTTCCCAACTGGGCGGTCGCAATTGAAACCCTACCCGTTTTGCTCGATGGCCTGCGAGATGACAGCACGTGAAGCCCGTCGGCCCCGACAACGAGTGCGAAGGCGAATTGCGCGAAGGCGCTTCTGGCTGACTCCTCTCGTGCCGGTCCTCGGCGTCGTCGACGACGACGTCGTCGTCGTCGTCGTCATCGTCTTCCCGGTCGGCGAAGCCGACGGTAAGGCCTTCCAAAGAGAGACTATCGCTGGACACTTGCTGAGACTTTTATCACTATACAAGTTTGCGTGCCTCCGAGGGGGAGGAGGAGAAGGAGGAGGAGGAGGAGGAGGAGGGGGAGGAGAAGGAGGAGGAGGAGGAGGAGGAGGAATGGAGGAGGAGGAGGAGGGAAGGAGGAAGGAGGGGAGGGGAGCAGGAAGGGAGGAGGAAGGGAGGAAGGGAGGAGGAAGGGAGGAGGAGGAGGGGAGCTTACAAGAGTAGGGGTGCAGCATTCACAACACGGGGTCTCGTCTTCTAACGGTCCACTGGGGTGCCCGTCATTATTCAGGAGAGCTTTCTCCGCAGTGATGTTCTGCATATATATATGTATATATATATATATGTGTATATATAAGGCCTTGTATGAAGAAGGGACTTTGGGAGGGATGGTGTACTCCAAAATCGTCGCAGCATCCTGTGGTTTGGTCCTCCTCCTCCTCTTTCTCCTCCTCGCCCGCCTGGCAAACACACTCGGGAATGCAGTATGGCGGAATACTGCGATTGTATGCAAGACGCCACCTTGACCCTAAGATTCAGCCTACATCTGAGCTTCAGCCCCAGCCTAGGCCACAGCCCCAGCGTTAGCCCCTACAACCGGAGGGCAACCACCATTCGCGAAGAAGTCGCGAGTCACTCGCCTCCTCCTCCTCCTCCTCCTCCTCATCCTCCTCATCCTGCTCCAGTTCCAGTTCGGCCAAGCATCCGCTTCGCACAGGCAGCGCAGAAGCATGGCTGAGAAAAACACTCCAGAAAGGAACACTGCGCCCTAAGGAGGCTTTCGAGCTCGGGTCGATTCCCTGCCTCAGCATCTCGAGCGAACGGGTGGCAGCGTCGCTGCGAGTCCTGCCAGGGCAACGATCCGCCAGGAGCTGCACCAGGTGCCGAGCGAAACAACCGCACTTGGAGCACCAAACAATCGGGAGAGGGGCTCCAGCATCGCCGCCCCACAGGCGGTGGGACGTGCGAGACTGCCGACATATCCGCGGGAGCCCCAAACAACGATAGCTGGCGAGGTGGGTCCAGCTGCGCCCGCGATCAAGGCAATGCGCGCAAAGCCACCCCCTTCCCCTTCTCCCCAGCACATGATCATGGGGGGATAGGACATCCTCCTCCTCCTCCTCCTCCTCCTCCTCCTCCTCCTCCTCCTCCTCATCATCATCATCATCATCATCATCATCATCATCATCATCATCATCACCATCATCATCATCAGCATCATCATCATCATCATCATCATCATCATCATCATCATCATCATCGTCATCGTCATCGTCATCATCATCATCATCATCATCATCATCATCATCAGCAGCATCATCATCATCATCATCATATCACATCATCAGCAGCATCATCATCATCGTCATCAGCATCAGCATCAGCAGTAGCATCATCATCATCATCATCATCATCATCAGCAGCATCAGCATCATCATCATATCATCATCAGCATCATCATCGTCGTCATCATCATACGCATCAGCATCAGCATCAGCAGTAGCATCATCATCATCATCATCATCAGCATCATCATCAGCAGCATCATCATCATCATCATCATCATCATCATCATCATCATCATCATCATCATCATCATCATCAGCATCATCATCATCATCATCATCATCATCATCATCATCATCATCATCATCATCATCATCAGCATCATCATCATCATCATCGTCATCATCAGCAGCAGCATCAGCATCAGCATCATCAGCAGCAGCATTATCAGTATCATCATCGTCAGCATCATCATCCTCATCATCATCATCATCAGCATCATCATCATGATGATGATCATCGTTATCATCATCCGCATCAGCATCGTCATCATCATCATCATCATCATCACCACCACCATCACCATCATCAGCATCATAATCGTCGTCATCGCCATCATCATCACCACCACCATCACCATCATCATCATCAGCATCATCACCATCGTCGTCGTCATCGGCATCATCATCAGCATCACCATCGTCATCATCAGCAACAGCAACATCAACATCAACAGCAACATCATCAGCAACAGCATCAGCATCATCAGCACCGTCATCATCATCAGCAATGTCATAATTAGCATAATCAGCATCATCAGCATCATGATCAGCAGCAGCACCAGCATCAGCATTAGCAGCAGCAGCAGTAACATCATCATCAGCAGCATCCTCACCATCAACCATCAATCCCCAATCACCACCAGTCATCAGCATCAGCATCAATCATCATCAGCAGCAGCATCAGCACCAGCATCAAAATCAGCATCTGCATGATCAGTTTCATCCTTATCATCATCAACATCATCATCATGCTCCTCCTTCTCACTGCTCCTCCTCCTTCTCCTCCTTCTCCTCCTCCTCCGAGATCTAAGGGCCGATGTCTGAGCCTTGCACCGTCCACCGACCCCGTCCATGCTACGCTGGCCGAGCTGGGCCATCGAGTCCACAAGGCGGGGCGAGTCGTTCTCAATGTTCTTGTGCCCTGCGTGCTGTACGTTGCCCCGCGGGTCGCTACGTGGTCGTGGCGACCAATGCTGCGGGCGCAGTGGCCACCCCTCGACCTGCTCCTCGCGAGCCTTACACATCAAACGTGCTACGGAAGGGCCCAATCCCAAGACGTAAAAAGGTGCTGGATGGATCGTTTGGGGGAGGCGGCCTGTCCGAGGTCACGGAGTTCCGCCTGTTCGAAGCCGTTGCTGGCCAACGCAATCTTCAACTGGTGGCCGCCCCCTCCCACCGCTGCCAGAGTGCGTGGGCGCAGTGGGCCTCCCAGTGTTTGCACGGTTTCCCCAGGGGCTGTAGGCGACCTGTGGAGGAGGAGGAGGAGGAGGAGGAGGAGGAGGAGGAGGAGGAGGAGGAGGAAGGGGAGGGGGAGGAGGTGGAGGAGGGAGAGGGGGAGGAGGAGATGGAGGAGGAGGAGGAGGGAGAGGAGGAGGAATGCAGGAATGCAGATGAGGGCCACATCCACGGTGGCGAATCAGAGGAGGAGCCCTCGGTCCCCACCCATTCCCTGGGTGGGTCCCAGTCTTGGGGGCCTCCTCGAAACAAACTTCGGGCAAGGAAGAATACCTAAGGTATTCATCCAATACGACGGGGCAATGCACACCAGCCCTCTGCGGACTAACCTCGGAGGCGAGGGCCACCACCTGTGCACTCGAGATAGCAGCAGGAGGCCCTCTGTAGGATGGGAAGACGCCCCTAGAAATCCGAGAGAGGTTCTCCCTGCCCTTAGCAGAAAGCTTTTGGCAGGGAGCAACCAGCCTGCGTGGGTCGACAGTGGCCGTGCAACCGCACACAGAGCAGAACCTCATGCCATACTTCTGCCACTCGTGCAAGGAATGGCTGTCATGTAGCCGTTGGTCTCCAAGCTTGATCACGCCCGCCGGACGCGAGAATCCAACACCCGTGAACCGCCCAGCTGAAGGGGCCTGGCCAGGAGACCGCACCGGGGGCACGCCACTGTGGGCAGCCGACACGGCACTGCACGGCACCCCGACAATCGGGGCCACACCAGGCGCACCACCAAGGGCGGGCACCGAACCAATGAGAAGAGCCGCGTCCGCCGTGGCGACAGGGGGAACCGAAAACACGGCACCGCACTTCGAACCCGCAAACACCGCCAGGTCGGCTACAAGCTCACGGCAGCCAGCACAAAAGAACTTGCCCTGGCTCAGCTTCTGTAAGCGATGGGAGGTGCTGGCTAGGGCGACCGACAGCTTGGACACAGGCTTGGCTCGGACCTTGGCAGGACGATCCGCATTCCAAGGTGCAACGACTAAGGTATCAATCATCGCACGCCTCGCACGCCGACGAACAAAAAAAACTATTACATCATACCTGTCCGCCTGCGGCACTGGCAGAGCAACAGCCATATCCCACCCCCGCTTCGCAACCCACCCCGCCCAGACGTCAGCAACAGCGCTGCCCTGAGACAGGAAGCATTGAAACGGGGACGAGATGCGCTCTGGCTCCTCTTCGAGATGGGATGGGGTCCAGAGCATTTCCACCAATCCAGGCCCGCGGCGATCAGCCGCCAGGCGGACTCTTACCCACAAATCGGAATTGCGGCCCGCAGGCCGCCAAAGACGGCCCGCTTTCCAGCCGTCCACAACAGGCTTGCAATCGCACACGTACACTAAGGGGCCCTGGGTGTGTTCGAGGGCTAGGGGGAGGGCAAGCAGTTCAGCCCTGGGGACAGTCTGAACTGCTCCAGACAGGGGGGCAGCGAGTCCGCTCCTTGGGAACCACGCTTCGGTCGGGGGGGAAACCGCGTCGTCACAAACGCGCTCCAGACATACCACGGCCGATCCACAGCGGCGCCTGCGACGGTCAGACGTGTATTTCCCCCCCGACCCATCCCCAAAAACATAAAGAGGGTGCCCTCCCAGTGGCGACGAGAGGTCCATCAAGGGCACACCGCTCAAGGTCAGAGAACCCAGGAGGCTCCACAAACCGCGGCACAGTGAGCGAGGACGCAGGGACCCCTCGAAGCCAAAGGGCAGGGTCGGAGTCGGCGCCCGCAAGGGCTACAGTGATTAAAGAATCAGTGGAACTGTAATCATCGTGGCCACTGTTTTTTGGGCACTCCCAGACACGGTGAAGCAACGTGTCGCGGCAATGTTGGCAGCGAGGACAAAGCGGGCTCACGACGTAGCCCGCCTCCAACTTGCGGTCCTGAGGCCACTGTCCACCCGAGACCACCGTCAGCGTCGCTCCCCATAAATCCATGGAGCCCTTCTTCGCGAAGGAACTCAATTCAGCCTGTACCAACTGCAGATCGGCACCACCAGTGAGGGTCTCGCCGTGGGGGTGGGCAGCAGCCTTGCGCCATCCAATCCGGGCAACGTCAGCAGAGAAAGCGGCGAGCAACTCATCAAAGTCGCCCAAGACAGTGTCCGTGAAGGTGTCGTCGCCCACGGTAGGAAAAGACCAGTCCTCCGCGCCAGTAGGGCCGTGACGCCGCCAAGTAACAGCCGGGAGCGGTTCCCAGCCCGTTTGGATAAGAGTGGCCTGCACGGCTGCACAGGGGCCTCGGATGCCACGCCCGGAGATCTTGGGTCGCCTAAGCCCCTCGGAGAAACCCTCCGCCAGCGCTGGTGCTGCAGCCTCGCCCTGTTTGAGACGGAGCGAGGAGGATGCCCCCTCGGTTTACCCCTGCCCATCCGCCTTGACCCGGTTGCGCCCCAGGTTGCTCCTGTGGCCTCCTCATCCTTTTCCCCCTCCTCCTCCTCCTCCTCTTCCCCTCCTTCTCTTCCCTCCTCCTTCTCTTCCATCACGTCGTCCTCCGCCCATCGTCCCTCGCCCACCCTCTTCAGCAGCGCCACCCCCCCATCTCCTCCGAGAACGACGACGATGACGACCGACGACCGACCGACCGACAACACCGACAACGAACGACGGCACAAGACCACTACGATGACGACCGACGACCGACCGACAACGACGACGACGGATGACGAACGACGAACGACGATTCGTGACGACGACGACGAACGCGCAAAGACAAAGACGACAAAAACGACGAAGACGACAAAGACGACGACAAAGACAAAACCAAAGACAAAGACCAAGACAAAGACTATGACGACGACCGACCGACCGACCAACGACGTCCGCCAACGACGACGACGACGACGACGACGACGACGACGACGACGACGACGGGTGACGGCCGACGGCCGACAACCGACGACAGCAACGCAGGCAGCGTGGGGGCGCCTGCGCGGGGTTCTCCCACATGGACGCCCCGGTCTGCCTGCTCCGAGGCGACGACGACGAAAACGACGACGACAACGTCGACGACGAAGGGCACCTCCTCCCTCGCCCGCACGACGGTGGCGCGCCAAGGGGGTTCGCGAGAAGGAGCAGGCCTTCTGAGAAGGCGGCAGGGTTTCTCAGGAAGCCGTCTTCGATAAAGGCTCCGAAAGTTTCTCCGGAGACCGGAAACCATCTGAGAATCCCACAAGCCCTTTGGGCGTGAGTGGTTTAGAGAGCCCGCTCTGTTTTCAACCCCCTTCTTCCCCTTCGGGGAGGGGTTTACCCCTCCCCCTACCCCCTCCCCCTTGGCCTGGAGAGGGCGTTCCGCGGGTGGTCAGAGGGGTCGTTTTTGACTCCTGGGAGGGCTAAAAAACGACACCCCTCACGAGGATTCTGGCCCCGACGGGGGGAGGCAGAAAAAACCCTCTCCTCTTCTTTGAAGCCAAAATCATTGATTTGACTACGGTTTTGGCCCCATTTTGGCCTTCCGAAAGGGGGCAGCGCTCCTTAAAGCTCCCCTCCTCTGCCAAGGCAAAATCATTGATTTTACGAGGGTTTTGGCCTCACTTTGCCCTTCTGAGGGGGCAGCGCTCATTAAAGCTCCCCTCTTCTGTGATCGATTCCCTCCAAGATGGCCCCAAGAAGCGCCCAGGAGGCACCAAGAGGCCCCAAGATGGCCCCAAGAGGCCCCCAGGAGGCCCCCAAGAGGCCTCCAAGAGGCCCCCAAGATGCCCCCAAGAGGTCCCCAAGAGGCCCCAAGAGGCTCCCCCGAGGCACCCAAGACGCTCCTGGAAGCCCCTGGGGCCGCCAAGAGGCCCCCAAGACGCCCCAAACGGCCTCCAAGAGGCTCCCAAGAGGCCCGAAGAGGCTCCCCCAAGGCACCCAAGACGCTCCTAGAAGCCCCTGGGGCCGCCAAGAGGCCCCCAAGACGCCCCAAAAGGGGACGAGGTCACGCCACGAGGAGCCCGAACGACACCGCCTCACGCCCACGAGGAGCCCCGACACCGACTCACACCAGGACGAGGGGCCCGAACGACTCACACCACGAAGAGCCCGAACGACTCACACCACAAGGAGGGGCCCGAACGACTCACACCAGGACGAGGGGCCCGAACGACTCACACCACGAGGAGCCCGAACGACTCACACACAAGGAGGGGCCCGAACGACTCACACCAGGACGAGAGCCCGAACGACTCACACCAGGAGAGCCCGAACGACTCACACCGAAGAGCCCGAACGACTCACAACAGGAAGAAGGGCCCGAACGACTCACACCAGGACGAGAAACCCCAAACGACTCAAACCACGAGGGGCGTTTTCTCTCCCTCCTCCTCCGCCTCGTCCTTCCCCCGCTCCCACCACAAGGAGGATGTACAAGGAGGCGGGAGGAAGGAGGAACAAGGGAGATATGCGGGGGCAGGCGGAAACACGCCTGAAAAACACGACTGTCGGCATGTTTCGCAAGAGTTGCTGTTTTGAGATGGGCTGGTGGGGATACGCGAAGCGTGAAGAATTCTGATAAAACCCGCCCCCTCCGCGAAGCGTGTGAAGCTTGCGCCGAACTGGTCGGGGCAGCGGCATGCGGACGCAGCCAGTGGGGTCCTCGGTGGAATTCGTTATGGGGCACGAAACATGAAATCGACGCGGCGAGATGATGCGGGATCATCATGGTTATCACCACCACCATCAGCATCATCAGCATCATCAGCATCATAAGCAGCCTCATCATATCCATAATCAGCATCATCATCATCACCATCATCATCGTCATCGTCATCGTCATCGTCATCGTCATCATCATCATCATGATCACCATCATCAGCATCATCAACATCATCATCATCATCATCATCATCATCCTCATCATCATCATCATCATCATCATCATCATCATCATCATCGTCATCGCCGTCGTCATCATCATCGGGCACGTGGATCGGGGAAAGGGGCAGAGACAGAGATGTGTTGGCACTCTGCGCTCGGTAGAGGAACTCACGAGATCAAAGCCAAAGGCTGCGGAGGCACAGGAGAGCAGCGGAGGACAGGGAGGGAACGAGAGGAGAGACCCAGACACCCCTGGAGACAGAGTTCTGGGACAGCGGGCCCAACTTTCGTGGCCGAAGAATGCTCTCTGGCCTCGAACACGAGGTAGCACGGGCGTCCGGCCTTCGGGCCGCCGCGGCGGCTCCCGGCGCCGGCACAGGCGGGGCCTGCCTGAGCACGGCCCTTGCGGTGGGGATGGACCTCCTCCTCCTCCTCCTCCTCCTCCTCCTCCTCCTCCTCCCTTACCTCTTCCTCTACCTCCTCTCTCTCATTGTCTCCTCCTTCCGCCTCTACCTCCTCTCCCTCCTCGTCTCTTCCTCCAGGGCCTCGGCGCCCCGCGGCGGTCGCCTTCGTTTCCCTCTGGGACGCGGCCTCCTCCTCCTCCCTTTTTTCCTCTTCTTCCTCTTCTTCTCTTTCTCTCCGGGCGGCCTCCTTTTTGTTCCTCTTCTTCCTCTTCTTCTCTTTCTCTCCGGGCGGCCTCCTCGGATAAAGCTTTCTTGGAGGCTCCACGAGAACGGCTCTTAAGGGCCTGGTTCAGGGCCCGTTCGTCAAGGTGCCCCCCCTTCTACCAGGCACGGGGTTCCTCGACAGAGAAGGTCGTGCAAAGCCAAATTGCCACGGGCAGGGTCGCTGTAGGTCATTGGGTCAGCGGGCATTCGCCCGCGAGGAAGCCAACGGACCTGGGACCCCGTGCTAGCCATGGCGTCTCGCACAATGGTTAGCTCCACAGCGTTTCGCCGATCGGCACGGGACCCGGCCGAGCCCCGGGAAAGAGTGTCAAAAACCGACTTAGCATCAACGATGGCCAGCGAGCTGGCCTTCTCCCCTAACTCACAGCTTTGAGAGAGCACGACAGCGAACAGGGACGCCCCCAAATCCCACTCGGGGCGAGGCACATCTGCAAACACGGCGTCCCTCCACAAAACTTGCAGCCACTGGGCCTCGGCCACGGCGCCCGAGAGCGCGAGGGTCTCGGCCGCAACCGTTGAACTTATAACTCGCTTCAATATCTGCGACCGCCAGCAGAGCACAGAGACCCGAGCCCTCTTGTTAGCCCGGATGCTGGCGTCCGCGGCCATCACCAACCACGCCCCCTGCGCACCCCCTCGGTGGGCCGACCCTGGGTCTCCGGCATCAGAGGCCGTCACAAACGTAAGAGACAGGGAATCCAGGGCCCAGATCGTCAGCTTCTGTGCGGCCGTAGCCTTAAGAAACTTGCAAATCTTTGTAAGGGTCATGGCGCCCCTGACGGTGGGCGAGGGCATAGCACCTGCGAGAATGGAAGCGTTTCCAGCGACATCGGGGCGGGATTCTCGGGCTACCCACCGCACATGGGCAACCACGGCACGGTAAGACGCAATCTCAGACTGGGTCAGAGGGGAGTCGGGCGAGGCCCGCTGGACTCGCTCGAGCGGCATCACTGTGAGCTGTTCCCAGATATACTTCTCTTGGTCCACAGTGATGCGGTCCGTAGACTGTCTGAGATGGCGACCGGCATAGTCGGCCTCGCCAGACTGCCACTTGCCGAACTTGAAGCGGGCCGCGGCACGCCCCTTAAAAGTATGTTGAAAAGCAGGGCGGCCGGAGACGACCAGATCATCAACTTCGATCAGCACGAGGCCCTCCAGGGCATTCAAGGAACCACGCTTTAGCCACAGGCACGGCTCCAGGAGCGAGCGCGCGAAACCCTCGGAAGCGAGCCAGTCAGTCAGCGTTCGGCGCCACAACAACGGGGCATCGTTGAGCCTATATACGGGCGCCACCAGCTCGATTAAACAATCGGGGCCTATCGGGAGGCCCGAACAAACAGGGTTCGACGTAGATCGAGCCTCGGGGTCGGGCGAGCTTCTGCGACTGGCAGAACGCGTTCTTCGCGCCCGCTATGGACAGAGACCATCCTAGGGAGCGCGCGATCTGAAGGGCCATGAGGACACTCTCGGACTGGGGGGCGGGGGCATAAACGTTCAGCGACTCACTGTCCGGGTCCTGGTGGCCACGAACGCACCACCTGGACTTGGGCTCTGGCAAGGAGCCCACCCCCTCGACCGGCTTGAGACGTCGAACCATCCTAGACGAGAGAACACGATCGGGGTGACGACAGCGGGCCAACCTGGATTCTTCTGGGGACAAAACCTCGACCGCCCCAGTGGCCAACATGGCGGCCCATTTCTTCGCATCCGCCGCCACGAAACGCTCTCGATCCTCCGGAGCCAGGTCCTTGAGGCGCACCTCGGCCCCACAGGGATTCACCTTCTTAGCCTGGCCAGCCGAAGTCTTCGCCGCAAAACTGGCCTCGTCGTACTCTAGAGCAGGCTCGCCTAAGAAAAAATAAAATGGTCGAACCTTCCCGATCTAGCAAACCACTCATGCAGCTCCTCGACAAGGGACTCGCCCTGAGAAACGCCCTGGAAGGCCCAGTCGCCCTTGCTTCCTCCAGCCTCCGCTTGCTCGCCGCCTTCCGCCAAGAGCGGCCCCTCGTAGGCCGCGTGTCCTGGATCCCGGTCGGGCGACCTGCTACGAGCTCGGGGCTCCCTTTCGCGATCGGGATCGGTTCTTCTGACGCGAGCTCTTGGAACTGAAATATCTCGCCCTGGGCCGAGGCGCGGCAAGAAGGCAGCTGACATCACGACATCGAGCTCCGAGGAGGCCGTCGCTGATGCGGAGGCGGCTGACTCCACCGGCCCAGGCAAAGGCACCTCCACACCCCCGCCACCCTCCAGCTCCCGAACGCGTTGCTGGACCGAGGGTGCTTGAGCGAACTCTCCTATCGGGGCCAGCCTCGGCTGCTTGGGTCGGGAACCTCGGGGATCCAGGGGCCCGCTGGCGGACCGGGACTCGGACCTGGGGTCGCCTTCCGAGGTCGCACGCGACTCGGCAAGCTCCGGCTCGCCGTCGGAGATTGAGGCAACGAGGGGAGGCAGCGAACTGATCGCGGCCGAAGGGGCTCGCGTC